GTATTGTCTGGCCTGATCACTCAGAGCAGGTTGGGAGAAAAAAGGGGCATAAGAGCTTATCCAAAGTACTAAAGGAATAAAATGTGTTTACAATCCGTTTTTAAAAAAAATGTCCTATTTAAAACAAAGCGGGTTGTGTGGTAGTTAAGACAGAGTTGTATATTGCAATCAGACACTGGGGCAGAAACCTAACTTCCTTAATTTGCATACAGGAGACACAATGAATGACTGAGTTAACAGCAGCCTGCAGAAATAACAGTCCAAAGGATGTTGAGGCTGTGTGGACAGAGAAACCTGCAACGGGCCAGCTCTGGCTAATGGCAGGCAACAGACTTTCTTTCATCTTCTCTAATGTGCCGAGTGCCACCGACACGCAGAGCATTTAACAGTTTAATCGCACCAAACGCTGCTATTTCTGCCTGCATTTCACTGTGGGTGTGGAAAACCCTTTGACTGTATGTATCCCAGGGTTTTCTTGTCTCCAAGCAACAGGAAAATGTTGTGATGATGAATCAAGCATCACATTCATACAGTACAGTATACGCCACCTGCTCTTGAGGGAGAAATTAAGGAGGACATTTTGATTTATCGTAACAAGCATTTTAGACTGGCTAATACTACAAATACAAGCAAAAGAAAAAGCAGCATATGGATAACACAAAACTGAGAGGATCCACCAACTCTTAGCTATACAATGTGCTCATTGTCGTGAACTTGGTGGCCACAAACAGCTAGTTAAACCTCTATATTTGGACCAAAGGCTGCATTCACAAGAAAGCTGCCTTCTGGGTCTGTTTCCACAGAGAGCATCTTATGTCACTTTCAATATGCTGATTGTGTGCATCTCCTTTTTGATACACGTACTAAATGTATAAACACTAAATCTTCATGCACAAAACGATCTCTGCCCCAGCACCAAATCAACACTTTCCTGATGTCTTGTCTCAAATCTATTTCACCCATCTATGTGGCTTCAATTCTATAATAATAGTGTTAGAAAAATGTATATTCTGTTACTAAAAGGTGGTAATGTGCGATCACAATATATCTAATTCTGTATTGCGATATCACACCTTACTGGCATCCAGTGTGTAACATTTAGGAGGATCTATTGGCAGACATTAACTTAGAAGGCTGAGCTGTATTCAAATGGTTGCAATCTGCAACTTCACCTCTCGATGGCACTAAATCCTACACACTGGTCCTTTAATGGGGTCTGTGTATTCAGCAAATGGGCGGAGGTGAGAAAGTAAGGTGAAAGAAGCTTCTTGATGACCATTTCTGTCACTTTAGGGAGAACAACAGAGTGCAAAATGACATCTTAACCCAACCAAAAGTTGTTTAAATATTTTAGTATGCATCATCACATTGCTCAAACATAGTAACTCACGTGCCTGCCAGGACACTCAAAAAGGAAAATGAACAGGATGCTGTTGCGTTAAACAAGCAATCGTATTTCCTCTAGATGATTGACTCAAGCTGATGTTTTAAACTTGTTATGACACTACTCAGTACAGATGTTTCCATTCTCCACAGTGGTGGGAAGAGAAAAAGGTAACTACTTGAAGAGGAGCACCAGGCTCTCTGCTCTCCCACAGTGTCTGGCTTTGTGTAACTGTAAAGCACTGGGTGTACATTGTACATATTTCAGTTTTTATCATAACCCTCTTTTGAGAGACGGAAGCTTGCGCTAAAAACATCTTTTCAGCATGACTAAGCTGTCTGAAAAAGGAAAGCAATCTGCAAAAAAGATCCATTTAGTTTGTTCCAGAAATATGCCAATCAAGCAATCGTCAGTGAAAAAGATCATTATGGTGGGGGGTGG